GGGGGGGGGAAGCAGTGAGGGATTCGGGGTCCCCGGGAGCACCCTGGCACACGGGAGCTGACGTGGGCAGCAGCAGCACAGCCTGCTCTGCCTTCCTGCGTGCCTCCCCGCGCCAAGCCATGCCATCTGCCAACAGCCCATAATTATAAATAGCGTAATCAGCTCCCTATTAAATGGGGTAGAGGGCAGGCTTCAACCTGCAGGTGATAATGATATTTTGCCGTTCACAGTGAGAAAGTCGCACCAAACAAAACATGGTTATTAGTGCACTTAAAACTGCTGACATAAAGTGGTTGTGAAATGCTGGCTGCCAGACTGGGTCAAGTTAGGTCTTTGCTGAACAGTTCAGGCTGCTGAGGAGCAGAGATCCGTGGAACGAGAGACCCTGGGTAAATATCACCAGGCTGAACTCAGCTGTTTGCAGCAGCACAGTGTCTTTGTCAGCCACTGCTTGGAGAAAAATAGTTGTAAGGAGGTGGATATGGTCAGCTCGGTGGTGATCTCTCATAGCGCTTCTCCTCCTTGACTTGCAGTGTTGGATTGGAATGTGTTATGGGGGCAGGTGAATTGTTTGGGTTTAAACAGTGTAAATATAAGAGTCTGGAAAAAAAAATCAAACCCTCTTGTAAAGTCGTGTTTGAGAAAGAGGGTGATTGAAAATAAAATCGGAAGAAAATGGGAAGTGATTTGTGAAGATTAGTTGTGAACCTAGCTATGCTGGCGGAGGGTCTTTAGTCTATGGTAAGTAGCTTGTGTACCGGGAAGGTAACTGTGAAGGTCACATAAATTTGGGATTTGGGGGTGTCATAGCTCACCATCACACTTATTTTCTTGGCCTACCAAAGTTTTGCACTCTCCTTCACATCTGGAATGCATCTTGATTGCCGAAGAGTAGGAAATGTGGAAGGAGCAGCTCTGGATGAATTACAGTTGTGTTTTTCAGATGTTGGCTTCAGATCTGGGAAGCGGTGGGGACTCCCAGGCTGAGGAGGGGTGAAAATCTCCTTATCCACCAAACTCAAGCCAACAGAGGCTTTTAAGAGTTTTCAAACATCCAGAATCTTTTGGAGAAGAGAGCATCTTTTTGAGTGTTTGTGGTGCTCAGAGCTGTAAACCGGATTCCCCATGTGACTACCAGTAAATTGTGAATCTAGTACCGTATAATGAATTCCTCCCCGTCTGTTGTGTTGGAGATGCAGCTTGGATTTTGTGGATGTGGGTGGACTCAGGAGCCGTGCTGGTTGGTGCAATTTTTGTTAAGAGTGCTGCAGCTTTTACTCTTACTTGTAGATTTTTGCTAATGTCTGTAATTTGCCGATGATTTGGCTTTGATTTATTCCAGGCTGCTCATGCTACTGAAAAATGAGTGTTCTTTGAGCAGTACGCCACATTTTCGAGCTTGCTTGAGTTTGGCAAATGCGTTGTGTGCGGAAATCACGCTCGCTCATTAGTTCGTGTCTTCTCAAACTGAACCTGGGTAAGCGTGCACATACATATGAGAAATTCTCATCAAACTTTTGCAGTTTGAAATGAGAATGGTGTCTGTGCATTAGGACACAATCCACGGGGAATGAAAGGAGTATAGAAAGCTTCACCCAGAGAGAAGGGGAAGTAGAAGTTTGCCAAAGTGTGTTAGTTCAGTTCAAGCACCTTTTATCAAGCTAAAATAAATAAGTGGATAAAGCTCAGTGCCTGAGTAGTGTGCTGTCTTGCGTCAGTCCTTTCTGGATGAGTCCCCCTCGGTGGTGCCTACTCATCACATCGAGACTCCAGACCATTTTGTTTCACCCGAACGTGTGATTGTGGGTGGTGCTATTTTTCGTGCGTTGGTCGGTGAGATGGTTCATTATTGCCATATTGGAAATAAGGATTTTTTTTTTTTTTCAGTTCTGTTAGATGTCTACTGAGTTTTGATTTGAGTTATTTTTGCTGTGTGCCCAGAGGCATGAACAGCCCATCCATAAATATTAGCATTGTTATCTCAGCTGGGAGGCCAAGGGTCACCTTCAGGAAAATGAGTTGGAATTGGTTCCTAACTTTTATTTCCCAGAGTGGATGGGGTCTGTTTCTAGCTAGAAGGTTTTTCACTCATCCTGCATGTGAAACTATATTGAAATTGAAAGATTATTCTGTGTCAGCACAAGGTCTTGCTCACTTTTTTTGTGACTTGGTAGCATCCCTAGGCAAAAACTGGTGTGCAAGGTGAGCTGTTTCCTCTGGTTACTCAATTTTCCTCCCACCACGGGGACGTTTGGATGGCGGACAGATGGGGACGAGCTTCAAGTTTTAAGAGATATGCACGAAGGTGGGAGCCGTGGTGTCTCATGTCTTGGGTGCTCTGCTGTGTTGGTGACCTCCTATTGAACCTTCTCCCAAGAAACGCTCTGGAAAGCTGGACCTGAGTGATTCTGCTGCGAAGATGCAGCAGGGATGGAGACTGTGGGCACTGGACCAGCTGATGTGATGCTCTTGGTCCTCCCTCCTGTCCCTCTCTGTCCCCAGCTGACTGTCCACTCTCTGCAGCACTGATGGGGCTCTGAACCGTTACCATTGGATGCTTCACCCCATCCTTACTGCGCTTACCTGTTTAAGCTTGTGCCCAGTTCCGATCCCTTTTCATGTTTAGATAAATCCTGGTGTTTATCATAGGACCATCTTTAGGAGGAAGAGAGTGGTTTTGGAAGAAAAGGGAGGAAAAACTCCACCAAAAAATGAATAATAAAATCCATAAAAGGAAAGTTAACTGGAGGACATGTGTCTTTACAAGATTGAAGGGCCTGGAAACATATTGTACATTTCCAGACACTGGAGTTAAGGGCTCATTTAGAATATTTCAGATATACTGGAGTTTGACAGTTCTTTGGTTTTCACATCAAACAATCTGTAATTTATTGCCCCGTATAGGGACTGTGTTTTTATCATATTGCATATTCTCTAGCCAGAAATCTAACTACCATATAAGCTTTTGAAAAAAAAGAACCCTTTGGGGATCAGAATCCAGGCAATATGCTTTCACAGACCCTGAGAAACTTGCTTTGATTTATTTTCTTGGAAATAAGAGGAACACACAATTTCTTGGAGTATTACAGCTGTTCTCCCAAGCAGGATCTTGCCGCCTTTCTTCACGTGCTCGGCGTAAAGTCCCGGGTCCCAGAGCGAGCCCCATGTGAAAGCGCCTCGTGTTGCTCTTCGTGGGCTTTACAGGAGGATGAGAACAAAATTTAGAAGTTTTACGAGGCAGTAAAACGTGGAGCTCTAGCTGGAAGGAAAAGGAGAAAAAAAAAAAAAAAAAAAAAAAGCAGGCTCAGAGACACGAATTGTGAATGACCGAAGACAAAATAGACTTGAAGTTTGCAAAAAAGCATTTTCCGGCATTTACGTAGCCGCGTTTGAAGCTGGTTTGATCAACCAATATGTCCTATATTTGTTTGTAGGTTTAATGGGCTGTTTCCCGGCGGCCTGGCTGCTGGGAGAGGGCATGGCAGAGGTCACCCAGAAGTTAATTTGGAAAGAGGCCAAAAGGCCACAACTTGATTGAATCAAATGTAAACAAAATAAGCCTGGGAACAGCACGATGCCCTTGCGCCTGAGAGTCTCTCTCAACCCCTTTGCCAAAATACAGAGTATGGTGGAGCATTGGGGACCGGCAACGGGGTAGCAAAGGATCGAATCCGGAACCGGCTCAGGGCACGTGAAGAACGTGGATATGGGCTGTCCGGACGGTGTGGTGATTGCTCCCCATGCATGGGGTGGCTGTGGGTGCTCCTGGGGGAGACGTGGGGT